AATTATCTTAAACATATGATAAAAATACTTCAGTATGTTGGTGAGTGACAAATAATTCTGTTTATTTTCAGTACATAGAAAATTTGATAATATTCATTACTTTCTGTAGTAAGAAAACAAAAATCGGCTGGAAGATTTGACGGTTTGTTTATTTAAGTTCATTAAATTTGATGAAGTTTAGTGATTAATTAAATGTAATCGTTAATTCAAACGGCTGTGTTAACTAAATACCCAACAATAATTAACTTTAAATTGAAGATTAAATTGTGTGTACCGGCACTAACTGGTGCTTTTCATCTGATACTTAATTCAGACAGAATCTCAGTCACCAAATTGATAATTTGATGACTAAAATAGAATAAAATTTAACCACCTATCAAAGACGAGATTTTATTGTTTTATAGTATTGCTTTCATCAAATATGCGCATGTATGTATATGTATATATAATGACTGATGAGAGACAATTCTTATTCAAATGTATACGCTGAAGTACATTTGCAATAAATTTAACGTTTTTGGAAAAAAAGTCACTCAAAGTACTTTAACAGTTTCAGTTGTTATCTGCAAATTAAATGTTTTCGGATGTTACTACTAACCAGTAGAATAGTATTATGTTATAAAATTTTCTCTTCTAAAAGGAAATATTTGATTAATCAACTGATTTAATAGATAAATTATAGCTGGTTGACAAAGAAATCTTGTAAATTTATTGCATACAGTTATCTCATGACTAATGCATATGTAAATCTTCAAATATGGTACTTTAATATGTTTGCTTCTTAAAACCAAGTAAGTTTACAAAGTATAAACAAAAATACAAAGGGATTTTGTGTATGGAAATAAAGTTAAATAAAACGTCAAGTAAATAAGAAGCGGTAATTTAAAATACATTACAAAAATGATGAAATGTAAAACGAGTAATAAGTTTGTCTAGAGGTCAGTCACTTGAATAGAGACCAAAGGTTCTGGATTCAGTCCCCTGTTAGATCATGGATACGCAGTGCTATGGAGAACCCTCATGGGACGAAACAATTTTTTGGCTCTTTCTGATCTTCGATAGTTGCAAAACTAATCATTTTGTGATGAAAAATAAAAATGACTGCAAATATCTGTGTGGATACATTACAGGGAATGAATAGTACTTCGATAAAACGAGTCCTCGAATACACATTTCTAATTGTCTCGACACTTTTGAGAAACTGTTTTCTCACAGCCGTGACAGGATCTGAATCAACTGAAACTGTCTCCCTTGAAATCACTCCTGTCTTTAAAATTATTGTTGGTCAGTACTGAATAAATATTACTGGGTCTTAAATGGTTTCTCTAAAAGAGAAAACCTGAAATGTTGCTGTATTCACCTAATAGCGATGATGAAAAGGCGATATTACGTAAATCTGTTTTATATTAGAACTATGATATAATTATTATGGGAGATCGAAGCAGAACACATGGACCTTCTTATAAATGTCATTCCATCAACGATCTAAAAAGTCGAGATGGACATCAGACAAATCAAGTGTGGAAAAGCAGCAGGACTTTAAAATATATTAGCGTAAACACTCAAGTCAGACATAGAAGTAACTGCAAGAATGCATCACGTTCAAATCAGGAAGATTTTGGAGGAAGAACAAGTGCCGATGGACTGGAGAGTAGGAAACCTCATCGAGAAAAAGAAGTAAAGAGATTTGAGCAAGTGTGAGAACCACAGAGGAATCACACTACTATCGGTACTAGGAAACTTTTCCAACAGAATATTGCTGAACCGGATGAAAGATTTAACAGTCGCCCAACTTGGAGATCAAAGGGCTGGATTCCGTAATGAATGGCTGTGCACAGACCGAATCAAGACATTACGGATAATCGTTGAGCAATCAGCTGAATGGAACTCATCGCTATACAACAACGTCCTTGGTTATGCGAAGGCGTTTGACAGCAAGGGTTGGAGAACCTTATAGAACATTCTTAGACAAAGTAATGTGTTTATAATGATCGTCAACATCATGCGAAATTGATATGACGGACTACAGTGTATAGGTGTGCACGGAGAACAGCTAACGGACTCATTCCAAGTGAGGACCAGTGTCAGCATAGCTGCTATCTCTCCCCCTTTCTCTTTCTTCCGGTGATTGAATAAATTATGGAGATTCCCATGTTGACATTTGGTAAATAAAGAAGGAATGAATCAAGTGAAGAAATTTCTTCGCAATTAGTTTTCCATCATGGCTCTACGCTAATATATATATATATATATATATATATATATATATATATATATATATATATATATGATTTACAATAATGATATAATACTGATCGAGTGGATTTGTTACGTAACAATTACATAATGACATTTAAGTACCATTCTCTCTCACTTGGTTGACAAAAGTCATCAAGTTGAATTGAATAAAGCTTTTAATGTTATCTACCATATCCTATCAAATTTGCCACATGGTTTACGAGTGCGCCGTTTGCACATTGCGGAAGTCATCGCAAGCCATGTTCATAAACCTAACCTTTGCATTCAAAAGAGATTTGTACAACCACTTTCGCTGCCTTGGCCATCGGTATAAGATTTACCTCAACGAAACTATTTTTCATACTTCTTCCATTTTATTTTTCTCTTTTTTTAAATTTTTGTAATTTTGCTTTTGTTGTTTTTGAACATTATAATTTCGCAACATTCATCTCTTTATTATTACGTAACTACTATTCTATTGACCATCCATTAAAAATTCGGTTCCTTCTCTTTTTCATATATTACGCAACGTAGCAACTTCTTGATTTAATAATTACTTTCAATATTAATAATCCTCTTTCTTTCAATTACTTAATGTTAATTTAAATGTCATTATGTAATTGTTACGTAAAATATCCACTCGATGAGTATTATTTGATTGTTGTAAATCATACATACATAAAATCATGATGACTCTGATATCTGGGGGGAAACACGGAATAAAACGGACAGGTTGTATGTAAGTAGACAACTCAAACTTCACAGATAACCTAGCTTTTTTATCCAACACACACGAACAAATGCAGTTGAAGGCAACTAGCATGTGAAGCAGTAGGCCTCAACATGCACAAAGGTAGAACCAATATCCTCAAATACAACATGTAGAAAAACCCAATCACACTTTATGGACAAGTTCTGAAAGAGGTGGGAACTTTCACTTACATGGGCTGCGTGATCGATGACCGATGAAGATCTGATGCAAATGAAGAATATACGGAACTCAAAGAGCTGTCTATAAGCCAATATTAAAGTCACAGTCTTAAATACGATTGTCAAGACAGTTCCACCATACGAAGCTCAGACGCGGAGAACTGCCACAACCATAATCGAAATGGTACAAGTATTTATGAACAATTGTCTACAGAAGATACTGAATATCCGTTGGCCGGATATCATCAGCAACAGCGTTAATTTTCTCATCATATTATTTTGCTACTAAAACGGTTACAGAATGCAATATTTTTTCATCAGAGAACGTTTCTTAATAATTTAATAATGCAGTGGTAATTCGTTAAAAAAACATTTTATGGTTGATCCCCTTCTTATTCTTAACATAAAAGAATGTTTCAATCAAGCAAATAATAAATGATGTGAGATCTCTGTCTTACAGCTACCATTTAACTGGTGTTTCAAAGACAGTAAATTAATTTATTTATTCAGCAAATTGTATCATTTCTTTCCCGAATCCACAGTACGTTTTGTCACTCACACGATTGTTCATTACTGAATATCTTCCTAGAAATTACTATTATTCAACTGATCATAATTACGTAGCTTGTGTTGAATCTGTGTTTGTTAGTGAATTTCTGAAAAGGTTTGCATCAAAGAATGTCTGGTGCCGCTATGTTTTAAAATACTAAAAATGCATTTGGCACAAATCAGGACAACACGTATTGCTTTCAGTTATACCACATGGCTAATGTTATGTCTGTGTTGTATGTTGAACGATATCACGCGCCTAAATCGCCATTCACGATAGCCGGTAATGATTTTTCTATCTCGCATATGATGTTTTTGCCTATAGTCTACAATTATTACACACCCAGCCGTGAGCCCGAAGAGACATTTTTAGACAGTCTTCTATTAGCATTATGTATCTACCGTCCAGCCAGCCAGCATCTTTCTCAAACACTCAGCTTATATCCAACAATTATAAGACCACAAATCGCACTGACTAATAAATCGTACTTTGAACACAATCAATCAATAAGTAGCAGAGAACGATGCAAATAGTGCATAGTTAATTATAAATATTTAAGAAGTAGTAAAACGCAAAACAACACTTAATAGGTCTACTGGAAAATTACAATAAGAATAATGCAAAAATCCTATAATACAGTTATCTAGTAGTTTGCAGTGAGATTATATATCATAATAATAACCCGTAAGATATTTTCAAAGGTTTTTACTTTTCTAACGTTCCTTGTTTTACAACAGCTACTATCGATAAAGTATGTTAAAGAGAAGCTGAGAATTTAATATTTTACCATCATCAAGCGCCTTAGCTAGCGTCTTTCTTTGTAGTTTGAAAATGGTTAGAATTAATCAACAAGCAACCCATTCCTAATAGGCCTAGGCCATAGTAACCATGTAATGGAATTGAAAACAGTATTGTACGTCTAAATGTGTCACTACATTGTAATTTTGAAAACTTTTCTGACTCACAGATTAAATGGTTTAGGCCATAAATATGACTTTACTGCACACTTATTTCACTTGCTTAATTTTTATTAATATGAAAATTATTAAACATCGTTTTGCAACGAAAACCAGGCAATATTGCTGAATTTCGCTGCAGTAATCGTCAATAGAGAGGTTTACATAATATCTGTCTATATATGAGGTGTAATCGTTGAAATATACAGTGGGTTTTAGCATTTTTGACTTAAAACTAATTATCAAAACTAGTTACAATGAAAATCAAGAAATATCTAACTTATAAGTTCGGTTTCGAATACAAATTCAGCTTATTTTTTCAAAGTGTTTATTTCAGTGATGTTTTGCATTAAACGTATTTTGATTAAAGAATTCTTAGTCTTCTTTTTCTTTCATTGAATATCCATAACTGTCTAGTAAATCCTTCATAGTTTCAATAGTTATTAGCCATCATTCCAACTTTCTTTCAACATTGTGAGTCATTATAATGTCATCATATCTATATATCTAAATCGAATGTTCTATCGAGGATATTTTTGTACCATTCAATTACTTCGCACATATTCATTCTAGGTTTTTCATAGTGGTCTAGATTCAAATAACTAAAACAAGTGTCAAGATACAGTGTTATTCTCCCAAATATTCTCTATCGTCCGGTGTGTATGTTTCTTATCAGTTCCATCTGAAACAACATATCATTTCTCAAATGTTAAAAATTGTACATACACTAATCATTGAAATATAATAATTGCCATCAAAATAAGTTTTAATATGTGAAATAAATAGCCAAGAAATAAAAACACTCAATATATTAAAACAATAATGATATATTCCTTTTCTTTTCAATTACCAACATAAAATAATACAATCAATGAAGACAAAATATACGAAAAGTCAAGTACATTGAATAGGTCCATAGATTTGTATTGTTCAATATAATTATCTTCATAAGTTCTTTTATAAATTATTCTTTTATCCAGATTTAAATAGAAGGAATGCTCGATCATCCAAATAGAAATATATAAAATTATGTGTTTCATGTGTTACATAACTTTATTATGTAATGATGAATAAATAAAAGGAAAAGAGAAATAGAGAGAAAAAATGTATATTTAATTATTGATATAAAATTATTGAAAATTGAAAGAAATAGTTCCTAATATATCGATTTATAAACCTGATTTAAATTAAAGCAGGTAAATATCTTATCGATGTATCATACATTCGGATTTGTAAATGATTCCAATTCAATTCAATTGATGAAATCATAGATACAAAGAAGTTGAACCAAACCGATTATGTATAGTTTAGTTTGATTGATACTTTTTGAATAGTACATTTTGAGAATTTGTATTATGGAAATTACAAGTTATATAAACAAAGATGAATGGTGTTTTGTAGTGGAATAAAAAAAACGTGAGTTTCATCCTAATTTATACTCGTCAGCTAGATGTACCCAAAGTTGATTTACACTCTGGGACTTGAACCCCGGTACTGTTCACTTTAAACACTATCATATTATCCACTTAATTACTGACCCTTAATAACCACTTACTTGTACAAATAAACAATACAGAATGGAAATTACAGTTTAATGTTCAATATTATCAATGAAGTTTACATTTTGAATTGTAGAATTATAATATTTTATGCATATACATGTATAGACCTATACATAAATGTCTTGTAGTTTCCTAACCTATTAAAAGTGTTGAATTGATATGATTTAACAAATGATACTTTGGTAATCATGATACATATATAAAATATGATTTATTCATTCATTAATAATTAAACTTACCTTCCAAAATTTCGTCCAACAATACAATGCCATGTAGGATTATATTTACGATCAAATTCTTTTTTAATATTAGCAGCTATATCTTTTTCTAAATCATGTTTATCTAATGCACCAGCAGCTATATGTATTGCATCCTCTTGCATTTCATTACTCATATCAGCATTTTTAATTACAGCTTTACGTTCACCCATATTGTAATAATAATAATAATAATAATAATTTTAATTGAATTCAAATACAATTATGATTATTATTGTTATATAATTTAGAGAAATTTGTACAATTTTTATAGTATTTATTTTATATTGTGTTAACTTAGGGTATTCATAATTTCTTATTTCATTTTAGTAGCATAGCTTCAAATGAATAAGCTATTATGATTTAATGAATTAAATTGTTCATATACATGTATATATATTTATATATATACATATCTAATATGATATACACAACATTCAAATGTGATTAGTTTAGAGTTAAATAATTTATTTAGGATAGTGATAAGATTGATTAATTTGTTAAATGAACTATTAGACAATATCAATGAATTAATTTATTAAATTACAAATATATTCATTTGTAAACATGTGGTAAAGTCTATTTAAATAATGATGATGATAATGATAATCACTCAGTCAGTCAGTAACAACGTAGAACTTCGTACGTACGTACATCAGTTCAAGTTGCCTCACTACATTAGCACAGAGATGTAGTTGTTGATTCAAATCCCGTAGTGGTAGAGGTAGTAAGAGTATAAGCAGTAATCGGAAAGATTAGGGGTTGAAGGTGTTATTTAAAGAGTATAATCCAGTGAAATAAATTTGCAAAGAGGAAAAAAAGGGACATGAAGAATTCAGAAGATTAGAATTCGGGAGAGCACAGAGAGTGGATTCACCTGAGCCATTGCAAACGATTTCGAGTCATGTCATTCACGGTCTCTAACCATCAGTTGCTATCATGATAACAATAATAATAATAATAAAATGAACAGTTTTAAGATGAATATGTTCGTGAATTGCTAACTTACATGAAAGCAATCAATATTTGAAACGAAATTATTTGTTTCTTAGTTTAAACATTCGGAGATGAATGAAGTGAATAAACCGTAGTGGAATTTGAGTAATGTTTCTGAATTTAGATAATGATCATAGAAGAATGAAAAACGTTTTATAATGGTTGAATATATATATATATATATTGGTGACACTGATCTGATACAGCGGCCATGTTATTAAGTCTTCAGTGAATTTGTATTATGTTTGTAACAATGCATATCTGTTTCTTATAACAGAGAGGTAAGATTCATTACTACTGAGCGATTTGAAACTCAAGGGCATCTTCGAAAAGAACATTTTCACTAGCCATTTTTAAATAAAACTTATTGATGTAAATATGTTCTATACTCTATCAAGTTAAGAATGTTATAACTTCAAGTTTCGTTGTATTTAATTGGATCAGTCAATGAAAAATAGTTTATTGATTATCTTAAAGAAACAGGTTAGATTTACTTTAAGACTCAGCTTCTATAATAACATGAAGTCTTTGTTAAATGAATTTATGGTTTAAAGTAAAATGATTCAAATGGAAACGGATTGTAAAGCACTGTTAAACAGGTTTCGAAGTTTATACCTGGTGAAAACACTACTCAGAATTAAGGTGGAGTATTCTAGGATCACAAACGTTATTTTCATAAAAGATGTGAGTATACAAGTGAAAAGTCGTTGAGAACTTGTTGAAATTTGTTCTGCGAAAGACATATCGTAGTGATATCTGAGTTCACTGAATGAAAATTAGATAGGACCTTACCATTCATATCGTATATATCTGCATTTAGCAGTGCTAACTTACAAAACCCATTTTGAGCTTCATAAATAGTCTTTTTCAGGTCTCATGTAGATACAGTTTGTAAATCGTTTAGTTCATGAACTGATTATTAGTAAACTACTTTAAGATCACTTGCTTGTCCGAGCTGGAACAGTTGTAGATTTTGCCTAGATAAGCTTGATAAATCAAATTAAAAGGGTTATTTCACGGTTTCTCTAGTTTAGTGTAATCAATTAGATCCAAGCCCACCTACTCCATGACTCCTTGAAATCTTAATGAAGGTTGTGGATTCAGTAATTTGAAGATAAGTGAAAGAAATAGAACGTATGGTGCTGTTAGTCATATGTGTGACTTAACAGAAGAAGTGTTCATTTGATCCCTAAAGTACTACTGAAAACGTTAGAGTGGGTTTTAAATTTAAAGATCTAATTGATTTATTTCGAATTCATATGATTAAATGTCATATGTTAATTTGCTTTCTTCGGCATTACAATTTGCCTTCTTTTAAATAAAGTAACAAAAATGGACTTGAATTTATTCATATATGTGTGTCACTATCTCAATTCAATTCTAAACTTTGTTTCTTTAATGTTCAGTAATAACTCGTCTATGTTCAAACATGTAATCTACATTTCAATAAGCTTCTTCTTTTTCAATAAGACTTCAAACGGTGACCTTCATTCTAAACTATAAATGTTAAATTTAATGCTATGGTATAAAGTCTAAAATAATGCTAACTAGCAAATTAGGTAAAATCTAGACGTTTATATAAAAGGTAGCTGTTGTAGAGGTTTCGAATGACTGATGGATCATTAGTTTTAACTAAAGGAACCTCTAATAATAACATATTTATTCATATATGGATTTGTTTTTCAAGCGTAATATTAGTATGAAATTTCACTGAATTATACAATTTGTTATTGTTTGCATAATTCCTTTGCTAATATTTTAATTCAATTACAACCAGTATTAGTTTATATATTTGCACTCTGTGGCTCTACACAAATATATATCAGATTTGTAGCTATGGAGTAATACTTGTCAAGTAGTTGGGTTACGTAATAATAACATGATATTGCATTGTTTACATAATAAGACTGAGTAATTGAGAAAAACAGGTCTATAATAATGAAAGTAATTATTCAGAAAATCAAAAAGTTGTTACACCGGATAATGCTTTAAGACAACCAACAAAATATTATCATGAAAGGCTAGTAATACAGTAGTTACGTAAGAATCAATAGACGAATAATAAGACTTTGTAAAAATGTAGTTAGAAGGAATTATGATATGATCAGTATTGTTTTATAGAGATACTTGAGTTTTCACCGAGATCATGAACTGACCAATGTTATATCACCATTGAAATCATGGAAACACTGAACTTCTGCATCGTCCTAGTAGAGTGCTCTTCAGCAATGTGTATCTACAATCCCATTTGCAGGACCCGAACCCAGGACCTTCGGTTTCCGGCGAGCGCATAATCTCAAAACCACTGAGCCATGATCCAACGGTGTTAGTGTCTTACTTCAATTAATCGACGATATTTGGCGACGATCTTCTATTGTCTGCCTGACACACGACACAGTTGAAGTCTCTCATATCTAATTAGTACAGTACCATTGAAATGAGTATATTGTTCTACTGTAGGCTTTCTATGTGTTCGTCTTTTTAGTATTCCATCTACTCTGTTTGTTTGTTGGACATCAGAAACAATGTAATAATTCTCCGTCCCTCCTCAAGTGTAAAACTAATAGATAGGTTAACGTTATTAAATATATTAAGACTAAGTGCGCATCTTAAATTCCACTACCAAACCTATTCATCACCACATGAAATCCTTGAGAATTAATTGCTCTATCGAAGTCGTTCATACAGTTTTCCCGCATGCCAAAAGAAACTGATCAACTACAGACTTAAACATCAATAGAAAGATCCAAACCATCAACATCTATATGAATTATATATATATAGTTATGCTGATATTCACCTATTAAAATATTTCTATTATATTCAATGTTAACATTGATTGTGGCGTCAGTAACAATATTTTCTTTTTTGTTTTCATACTTATGTAAACTATGCTAAATCTTAAGAAGTATATTTTCTACTAAATGTTGTATAATTCATTCTTATTGATTACAACTTAATATACACGTATTAGAGAAACATTCTTAACATTGTTATTATATAACTAAGTTTCATGAATGAAATTAATGATGACAAGTTATGTATAAAATTGATCATAATTTACATACAATAAAATTTAATTTTATTTCTGTGTTGAAATTCTTGTTTAGTAGCTTGGCTTCATTTTATCGACATATCATTAACAATGTATGTAGTGTATTTAACCATTCATCTCTAAATACATTAGGTCGATATTAATAGTGGGTGGTTTAACATATATGTATAAATATATATCTGTGTGTGTGTATGTGTACCACTATCTTATTGTTGTTTTGCTTTTTTTATTTAAAAAAAATAGTTGCCAGTTGTTTACCGACTTGCAAATACTTTTGACTAACTGTAAATGCAAACACCAATTTACTGTATGTATTCTGTGTAAACGTTTTGTGAAATAATTCAAAATTCTTGTTTTGTTATTATTGACACCGTAATATATCGTACAGTTAAACAAAATAGAAAGTTTTTATATTCTTTGTTATTGAAAATTTAATTTTTAGTCTGGGTTATGAATACAGGCGGTCAGTCACGGCCCAGATAATCCAGTGGTAACGTCTCTGATTGTTGAGCTGGGTGATACGGGAGTATGAGTTCCGTCAAGTTTATAGGTACAAATTGCTGACGAATGCCGAATAGCATGAAATCCATGTCCAGCGTTTCTTGTCAACTATATGTAACAGCCATAGTGCACGCAATGTCGAGTTATCTAGACTAGTGGCTTTGATCTGAATTTAGAGGGACCTGACACACATGACATTGATCACTACCCAATGATCAATCAACTGTCAAGAATAAACTAAAGAATATCTTAGTTGGTAAATATTTAAATGTTAATCATTCAAATATAAGAAATACAATATCCATTTATGTGTTAGATTGAAGATACCTTAGCATTTTCTAATGTAGTAATTAATTTATTCGTATTACAGTGACACATAGAAATTTACTCTGAAGTTTAAGAGATCAATTTTAGCTGTTGTGAACTGATGAATCATAGATCAAATTCAACGCAACAAAATGAAAATCTTTAGTTAACAGTAAATTTAGTGAGATTATTTATTTTAGTTGTCATGACGTATCATGCACTTATTTATTGATGTGCCAAAGAGGAATATCACACCGAATTTCTAATACATTTATTTCGTTGTAAATTTTCGTGGTAACTGAGAAAATCATAATGCATGATTTTAAAATTTGCCTAGTTACATGTCTTTTTTTGTAATTAGAAAGTATGGTTAGAGATATACTTACGTATAACTCCTACTTGAGTGGGGACTGTAACTATTTTTGAATTTGGAACCACAGTATATTATTCTGTCCCTTTTACAAACCTCAAAATAATAAGATTTAATTAACATTGTTGATAAGCCATTTATGTACTACGTATCCAGATAATTTAACTTCAATATTCGGGTGTATTTTCGCCATGTAACCAATATGCACAATTTGTACAGTTCATTTCCATATTATACGTTTTCATTCTACGTCATGTATTTATATTCTAATGAGTTATCTCGATTGTAGCGATATACAATTATATTGACTGTTAGGTAAAAACCTTTTTATCAAAGTTACAATCATCATATGGATTGTTTAGTTCATTTTTTTTTACAAAAATCCATATTTTTCATCGCATACACATGAACAAATGCAGATAAAAACAGCCAGTGTAGCAGTAGTCACTGCATCAGTAGGCCTCAACATACACAAGGGAAAAACTAACATCTATTGGCCGGATACCATCAGCAACAGCCTTCTGTGAGTGAAAAAATCCCAGCTTCTAGTTGAAGAGGAAATTAGGGAAAGGCGATGGAAATGGATAGGACATACACTGCGCAACTCGTCAAACTGCATAATGAAGCAAGCCGTAACATGGAATCCTGAAGGGAAATAGAAAAGTGGAAGGCCAATGAACACATTACGTCGGGAAATAGAAGCAGATGTGGAAAGGATGAATAAGAACTGGAAAGAGCTGGAAAGGATTGCTTGGGACAGGGTTGGACGGAGAATGCTGGTGAGTGGCCTATGCTCCTTCACGAGGAGTAACAAGCGTAAGTAAGTAAGTAAGCCATGTTTTTTTTATTCCACAGCTTCCACATTTTAAGTTTGATTTTATATATGTACTATCAAATAAATAACTTAATCTTATAAAAATGTAGTTCTTTTATATGATTATAATTCATAGTTTCCATTAGCCGTTACATATCAATATCATTTATTAATCACATTATACTACACAAAGTTTCTTACCGTTTGTTTAATGAATCCTACATAGAAATAGAATATATGATCTAACTCATAATAGTTTATTAAATAAACGTCTTATTCATCAAACAAGCAAGTTGATTTCAAGAACAACACAATTGTATCAAATTACAATTATAAACCTTAAAATAAGTTTATAAGAACAGTTAAATATTTCATTAAATTGGTCAAACTTTAGAAAATGTATTCATCATTATCATTATTATAATTAATGTATTACATCAAAGAATAGTTTACTCTTTTTCTTCATAAATTTAGTTGATTTATACAAAGACAAATACAAAATACATCAGAGTACACATTATTGATTATTTAACTTTATCATCTAATTAACAAAGAAACGAAACTTTTGAAAACTCAATGAATTACTATGGAATTACTATGTTCAGAGTCAAAACAAAACAAAGAAAAATTGCATATATATATATGTATATATATATATATATATATATACAACTTACATTGATATCATTGCGTAATTTTGTGTAATTCTATATATGATTAATAGGCATACTAGTTTTAAGAATGTATTTTCATTAAACCCTTTTGTATATTAGAAATATTTTAAAAAAAACTAATATTCTGTAAGTAGAACATTTACTATTTCGAATCAGTGAAGTAAAAATTCATATATTATTTGAAGACAAATGTAACATGTATGTAGATGTATTCAAATCCAAAATATGGTATCAATTACTCTTCACTATTAAGTTTTGCCTTGAGAATTTATATATTTCATTTATAAGAAGTGGATTTCAAAATCGGTATTGAGAGTTTATTTTATCTTAACTGAATAACAGGGGTCATTGATCTTTGTTCATCTAAATATGCTTGCAAACTATACTAATTCTTAGAGTGTAAGAGGACAGGTGGAATAGATGAATCTGTTAATATCAAACGATTTTAAAGTTTGAATTCATATAACTCTTAAGAAAAGAAGACCTAATCAATGATTTCTTATTTTATTAGACTAATATTCGTATTTGCAAAGATCTCGTATAATGACACATTAGCATATACCCTATTGTATATATCAGTGATATAGAGTTTAAGTGTTTCCGTGCGAGACCAGCAAGTCCTTGGTTCGAATCTCGCGTGGCGGGATCGTAAATGCGCACTACTTAAGAGTCCCGTACTAGGACGAAACAGCCGTCCAGTGCTTCCAGGTGTGGCTTTAATTGACGCATGAATTCAACTATTAAATATTTGCAAAAGTTAAAATTCAAGTTTGAAGCATAGTAGAAAATGATTGACTTTAATGGATGACAGGTAGATACTTCGTGAAAATGACTATCCAAACTTGATGCAGTTATTTTCAATACATAAAGTAATAAATTAGGTCTTGTTTCACAATACGTTAACATGATTTTAATCAAATAAAAATGAATTTTAATAATCAAATGCCCATAGGTTTAGCACATTTACTGTGGAATTTTTAAACCACTGAATAAATATTCGGTTGATATTGTCATACTGTGTTGTGTGCTACTGATGTCCACAGATGTCAGTAGTATGTATCATTAATAGGAAGTGAAATATCTGATAGCATAATGTTAAGAAGATCGAAGAAAAGTGAATGAAAACAGAGAATGTTCGGTGTCGAAACGAAGGAACAATAAATTCTGAGACGATTGACTGATATTTAGCAAATGAATTATTTACTGTATGGTTCTCATATTTTACTAAGACGTTCTGTAATTTTGTATTCAAATACATCCGATTGTTCCCACTTGTGTTTTCCTTCACTGTAATACAGCTAAATTTGGCAGATTAGTCTGTTAAGATTTTAACTGGTTAAATTAGGCAAATACATGTATTTATAAATATGTATTCTTCATTGATCATTGTACAAAGTAGTGAGTTTTGGCAGAAAAAACTTACTTATTTATCAGAATACTTTTATTGTAGTGTATGCTTCTTATGTTGTCAGATATAAGTAGTACGTAACACTAATCAGAGGTTGGCAGACAAAAAAATACATTTACGATAAGGACTATACAATTTGAAAAGTTACTATTTTAAAAAAGAATGAATTATATTGATCAACACTTTGTACAATACGTTGACACTATTAAAATTAACACATTTCCTATTCAGATTTCATTTCATCTGTCATCAATAACATGAATTATCTATTTCACATTACGAACTAAATGACTTGCTAGTTTGTATACTACTTATAACTGACAATTCTGTAAAACCTATCTGATAATGTTAGTAAAGTAATGGAATACAAATAATTTGGTACCTTTCAAAGATATGATTACTATATAACTTTGATCGTATGTATTTATTCCATAATAAAAATAAGATAAAAGAAAGAATATATATTAACATTACCTTTGCAAATAATTCTGCTTGTTGTTGGGTACATAGTTAGACATAAGAATTAGAAAAAAAACAGAAAACTGTTTCATAAAATGGAATATTTCCTCTTCAGTATAATAAATCAGTTCAAATTCATGGTACTTTCAATCAACTTGATCCTACGAACAATTTTATTGTACTCATAAATCTTATTCAAAAGTGAATGAAAATATAGTTAGTTTATGTATTATGAAGTATATAATACTGTGTCACAAGGCAAGTCTTTACATGGAATCCTCAAGGTCGAAGGAAAAAAGGAAGATCAACGAACACATTACGTCGAGAAATGGAGATAGACATGAGAAAAGTGAACAAAAATCGGATAAAACTGGTAAAGAAGGTCCAGGACAGAAAGGGTTAGAGAATTTTCGTTGGTGGCCTATGCCTCATTAGGAGTAACAGGCGTAAGTAAATAAGTAAGTAACATAATACTTCGCTATCCCGTAAATACAATCACGAATACAAATAAAATCTAATTGTTACCTACATCATTCATTTGTCATTTAAACTTTTAGAAAGCCTAACAGAATAACTTTTAAAACAAATAATATATATATATGTAATATTCCAATGAGTAGAAAAATTAGATTTTCTAACGTTTCGTGACTTAATGTAACCTACTTCTTCAGACAATACATAATCAACTTAAAATTAACTGAATAACTTTGATGTTCATCTAAAGTTATGTTCAATAGTATAGAAATATCGTACAAGGAACTGTCGATAGTAATATTCTTCTTCTTATTAAAGTTATCTAATGAAATTCATCTGTTATTTCAATTTTAAATGATCTAACTTCAGATAAGTTTATGAATATCAAAAATGTAGCTCATTTTGAGAAAAAAATCAAACAAACAAATTTCTGTTTTTCATAATTCTATTAACTAATATAAACAAATGAAATGATTATCACAATTAAAAGATTTAGTTTATAACGTTTTCTATCATTTTTTTTCTCTAAGAGATTGATTTGAACCATTATAACACTGAATAGCTGTAAACAAATAGTTTATGATTATTTAAAAATAAACAAAACAAACAATCATTAAGTGTAAACATATGGTAACACAATATAATGAAGTTATGATACACATTCATTGATACTCACAGTCCTATAGTCAAACTCATATATTACACTAACGCACATAGTTTAACTCAATCATAAGTAAACATAACAATAAAGAAAGACAAAGAGAGAGAAATCATTTAAAGAAAGATAAATGATATGGTAAACACACATATAACTTTATTTTTTTCTCTAACTACAAATAAGAATAGTATTTGTGTTCATTTACTTGTCAGCCTAATATATAATAGCTATGCTATAATAAAAACCAATTTTCGGAATAGCTCTTTTTTTTCTTCTTCTCATCTAATCAGGTGAATTGAAGCTAATTTACTAAACATGAATCTACGAATGAAAATAGTGATATGATTAAGTACTTAAAATTATGAATGGTATAAAAGTACTAAATGTTCAGGTATAATACTTCATTGTGTTTATATTCATAAATTAAGTTAAATGGGAGAACGTAAAGCTGTCATTAAAAATGCTGATATGCATGAAGATATGCAAGAGACTGCTGTACATACAGCTGCTGCTGCACTTGACAAATATGAAATTGAAAAAGATGTTGCTGCTTATATAAAAAAAGAATTTGATAGAAAATATAATCCAAATTGGCATTGTATTGTTGGAAAACATTTTGGCAGGTAAGCACTATGAATAAAAAAACATTTATCTTTATGTTAATGTCCTTTCATTTTGAAGTATAATTAATATATAATGTCTATTATCAGATATAGTGGATTCGGTAACTTAAGAAACATAACTAATTAGATGTAAAACAACAAACGCCTATATTTTATAACATTATCTATCATTTTATAAAATCCCTTTTCATTCTATGTTATGTTAGTTTAGGTTGATAAGGATGGTAGGATGATATACAAATGTGTACCTTTTATTGATTTATTAAATGCACAATATTTTAATATCTTTCCTTTTTTGTAATTCTAATTTTAGTTATGTAACACATGAAACACAACATTTCATCTATTTCTATTTACAAGAACGAGCTTTCCTCCTTTTCAAATCCGGTTAGAAGATATCAGTGACAAATCGAAACAAAGAAAACAACATTTAGTTTATTTCAATTGTACACTAGTTAGCATACATTTATGTTTAATTGATAGTCCAAAATGGTATAATTTAATGTCTTTTCTTTTAACAACAACGACAACAACAACAACAACAAAACGAAAGTACAATGGCATTTTTGTACTGTTATGTCAAAACATTTTTTTAATTTGTTTAAAAAACAATAAATAAATAAATTTGTTACTATAATTTTTGATCAAATCATGACTTTTTAATTAGCTATACTGAGTTTATTTTCAATCTGTTCAATGAATAGACCATCTTGGAGTTAAAAAAAACCAATGTCATTAATATGTTAACATGATTTATAGTTGCAGAACTTCGTGCATTGGTTAAAGTTAGACATTAATACCGTTGGATGTCTGTTCAGTGGTCTTGAGATTAAGTGTTGGTGCGCGAGGCTGATAGGTCTTGGGTTCAAATCTCACCAGGCGGGATTGTGGATGCGCACTGCTGAGGGGTCGCATTCTAGGACGAAACAACTGTCCAGTGCTTTCAGGTTTCCCATGGTGGTCTTGCTTTAGTTGATTCATGAACTCAACTATTAAACTAGAAAATACCCAGAATTTTAACGAATAAATAGAATAAAACAAAAAACGAACACAAAAAACACAATGCAAACAATTTTCTGGTGTTAACGTTCTGATCATTTAGGAGTAAATAAACTTGTTTTAACAATGCTTCAATTGACTGATGAATTCATCTATTGAATAAGTGTCTGATGATTCATTCGTCAAACGATTAAGTAACAAGGAAATATGAAACTAATTATAAAGTCGTAGATTGAATTTAAGCATTATTTATTATTTATTCTCAAGTTATCAATAATTGTTATATATTATTCAGAAAATAAAGAGAGAGATCTTCAATAGATATGTATGGACTTTGGCGACCTGCTTGAATATCTAAGCTACCCATTCTTGCCATCTGGATATTTCAACAAGTTGTCTGTTTTTTGTTTGTTGCAATACATCATTATGGCTATTAATCGCAAAACCTATTCAGGTGCGCTTCTGAAAAGTATACAACCTTTCGTTGTACAAGTTACAAAAAGCCCAATCAGTGATATCGTGGTTACCGTCAATATGCAGCGAAAAGAATGTACATTATTTAGATGTCGATTTACTGGACTGCTAACTTCGTCAGCACCGACCAAGAAGTAAGAAACGGAAACTTGTTGAAATGCTTTGTGCTGAGAATTATATATTGTATCAAAGATGTAATATGAATAAAGCTAAAAATAAAAACTAATGGTCTCATCTATTTCAGTTAATGTTTGACACATAATAAATTATTTATATTCAAATATATCAGTAATCAGCTCACTGAATCAATTTACCAACACAGACTCGTGTAATAGACATAAATCTGGATATTGTTTTACTATAAGTGTAACCGATGTCCACGGAAGTTTATAATTGCACCTCAAAACACAAAACGAGAATTGCAATCAGTCTTTTTTTAATTCTTCATACTTGTTCTCTTTTAGCTTTTATTCAGCTCCCAATCGTTTATTACTTGCTCACTAATTTTAATTGAATGAATCGATTCTAGTCTTATCGTTTTATTTTGTGTTTAATTTGTTATGTAATTAATCGATAATGCCGATTTGTTCACATGTCAACAAACTTGGTACACTTTGGTAAATATAATACAAATATTAAGTTATATGAAATCCATAAAAACATAAATGAATGAAGTTAATTATTCTAGATCGCTAGGTTAACAGCACTCAAATTGTGGTTATTATTTAATTTAACAATTACAAATCAAATTACTGCTATTTTAAGTTCAGATAAACACCAACGTTCAATATAAATTATGTGTAAATTACTAATAAGAGACTAATCGATTGCAGTCCTAAACTTCAATGGGAAGATTTAAACAATGAGTACGTGGGCAATGTCAGTTTTTTACCAATAATACTTCATTATAAAAGATCAGGTATTAGTCGGACAAGTGATCGTAAACGGATTCTATTTTCGCTTAGACTTAGATCAACGGGAAGAGAGAACTACACGTCCACCTCAAACGCGTCCATAGCTAATGCATGTCACCTCTCAATTGGTAAAGTATGTATGACATGGTTTGATTACAATCGTATGGTAGACAAATAAACAAATAAATCAAGAGCTCAACCCTTGGTTAAAGTAGCTCCTGAAAATTTACGGAGGTTAGGGCTTGGCTGTATGTTAATCATTTCGAAGGGTGTTGTAATAACTACAAGATATCCTGCATCCAGGAAACTGAACATTCTAGATGTTTATTCTTCCTCGGCGTAGGCTTTCCAGAACAAGTTCGACAATTGTTAATTTACTCATTTGTTCGGCAGTGTGAATATCACATCAGTTATTATCTATTAGACACTGTTTCAACAGAAAACGTGTTAGACTACTGAAGCATAACAAAAAAACATTTAGAATCTTATCTAGCTAGTATAACTTGCACCATATTGTTTGATTGATATGATTATACACAAACCCATTAATTTGTAAGGAGATTCGTTTTTATTTTGATATTGTGGGATAGAAAGATGGCATTATCTTTTGTATCATTCCGGTATAAACTTTGATTTAATGCTAAACGTGTACTCTCGTTCAATCTGACGATTTTATTTCCTTTATTAATTCAAGTCTCACAAGACGTAGAAACGTTTATTATTTTTCAATCGCTTTTATTCTATTTATTTGTAATTAAAAATCAAATCTTATAATAAGCCCAACCATTTCGGTCTAAACATCCTCTCAGTTATCTATGATTCTTTCGTATATTCAGTAGGCGACGAAACTGTGATATAACACTATGGTTGATATACAAATGACATTTATCAAATTTGTGTCCTTTACTATTTAGACACTTATAACGACTTATTAAATAAGTAATCTATACTATCACAAAACAATCTCCATTTACCTCTTCGTTGTTGTCCAAAAAGATCATAAAATGTAAATGATACCAAATAAATGATAGTTTGTAGTTACAAGAAGAGTATGTCTTTTTACTGACTCTGATTACAAAAAAAGACATTTCTAATTTGAAATCCTATTCCGTAATGTATCTTTCCAGAAATTTCTGAATAAGGAACTGAATAAATATCGAAAATTATGAGGATTTATAACTGTTGTCTAGTCAAAATACAGATTTTCCGAAGTAGATAATTGAGTATATATTCATTATTGCAAAACATGTTGGATATAAATACACCAAGTCGATTACCTTCTTTATTAAATGGCTTAAATAATAGGCTTTTTTCTTAAACAATTTTTAAATAACAGGTAAGACCGAAATTATTTTTTAAAAGCTTGAATCATTGTAAAGTAGGTAAACATCTGTACCGATATTGATCTAAATTTGCTGCATAGATATACATGAAACTATCTGTAAGAAAGTATCAATGAAATTACATACACTGAATTCATCTTGTACCTACTTCATTAACAAACATAATGATTTCAAAAGTTAATTATTTAAATATGTATTCCATGTTATTACAGTATATTAGTTACACGTTATGTCAGATGGAATAAAATCAACATGAGAAAAGTTCAATGCTGTTTTTGTATATTAATATTTAACAAAACTGAATGATAATGTAAAATGTACTGAAAATATGCTAATGTGAATTTAGTTTATGGTTTATTGTTTCGGGCTAGTTGAATTTTGAGTTGTTGTCCCGTCTATTACTCCATCGATCCATCCTCTAAAATATGCAACTCTTGTGAATAAACCTGGATAAAGCTCAGGTGCCGTAGCGTGTGTAGCTGAAGCTACACCAACAACGTAGTTTTTATCATCTTTCTTATAAATCAGACCACTCCCGCTATCACCCTAAAAAAAGCAGAAGAAAATTTGCCTTATATAATTACTCAAATGATATAAGCTTCTTAATTAAGCCCGTTCAAATAAATAATATACTTCATACAATAATATTCGTTTCATCACCTACGATCATAAAAAACATATGCCACTCCAATAAGTTAACGCTAGTTGATTTAATAATGATCTTGTTGAATTCCTCTAAAAGTTGTAACGCATCTTGAAATAACCTTGATTCCCATTAAGACAGCTGAACACTGAATAATTACTTTTCCTAGTTTAAACTTGGTAATAGTTGAGGTTGACTATAATTCAACGATAACTTTAAATGATGGCTAATTACATGACGGGTAAAATGGAGTTGAAAAAGTGGACTATTTAGTTATGACATGTAAGGTTATATTAATTTCCCCCCAAAATCCTAAGTAATAAATTTGATCACAATATACTATATATATGTGAACTACCAAGTATTTTTAACACATTTACCCACTTATACTAATACCTGGTGATTTTAGTGGCTTTTAAGTTGATATTTAGTGGTTACATAATGTAAATTTATCAAGAACAAGAGTAACTTGACCAATGTTTGAGTATATGCTACTTAAGTGAACAATCTTTGACCAAGGAAAATTATGAAGAATTAATCTTTCTATTGAGACGGTGGAGAGGATTTGTAGCTCAGGTGGAGTTTGTGCTGATAATGTCGTTCAAAAGAACGATGAAAGCTCCACGACCAAACCATCCAGCTCAGAGAACAAAACTCCACCAAAATTAATCTTTCTATTCCTAATTTCATCTGGGTTTATTTTATTCCTAAAAGGCTGCAGAAAAAATATTTACATAAGATACGTAGCACTTTATATTATTCAAAAGCTTACCTAACTTTGTCACAATAAAAACTAAACATTTGCTTGCTAATCATATGCTTTGGTGGTCTCGCTTCATTTCATCAGCATATATAACTGTAAAGTACAGTACAGTGAAACTATTCTCAGTGATTGTTATATACATGTTTCATAAAGTTTGCAAATACTGGTGAAGGTGAACTCTTAAGTGTTGATATACATTCATTTGTAAAAATAATCCATTAATGTTACAAGTAAGGTCATTTTTAGTAATTTCTTGAATTGATATTCCATTTCAACGTGGAAAAGATAAAGAGATGTTTTTACTGAGGGCTGGACACTTCAATTTTAGTTCATTCTTTAAGTATTTCACAATAGATTTCCTGTGATCTACATTTTTCACAAGTCTATCCCTATCAATATTAGTTGTTTCAAATGTAGGCTTCTCTCAGCGAGCGAAAAATATCGTAATGTAACAGATTTTATTTATTCTTTAAATTTCGTTATTCGTGCTCTGATCAGTGATACCATTGGGAGATGATGTATAAATATTTGAACATCATCATGATGGCATTATTAGTTTTATTATTCTGATCTTGAATTTGCCTAGGGACATAATACTAATCTCTATCTCACTTGTAAAGTTACATTATAAAATCCGTCTTACAAAATACAATTTAATCAAATAGGAAACTTCTGAATCAGTAATTCTCGTAGAAACAGTCGTGACTAGATGTATGCGAATTTCCAAACATACCGACTGAAACTAGACTTTCATAATCACAAAAATTATTTTGCAATTCAAGTTGAAGAACAAATATTAGTTATAAGGCTTACTGAGCATATTCCTACTCGTCCTTGGTAATAGCCAGCGCAAAACTCATGTTGATCGTTTAAGCCTGCTGCATTGCCATACATTAGCGAACAGTCCTGATTTTTTAGTGTTAACAAATGAACAGCTTGAGCTTGTGCTGATGGTTTACCATTTTTCACACGACAACCCCATCCGACAAATATGCAATCAGCATGATCAGGTGGCCAAGCAAGATAATTTTCACCAGGTGGTAATTCAGCAGGTTGAACCCCTGGATCTTCCGACGGCAAGGGTGTTTCTAATTCGAGCAAAGCTAGATCATATTCTAGATCGTCTGAAAAGACAATTAAGTATAGGGTATAAATTTACCATTACTGTCAATCTTTATGATTATGGCCGTTAATAAACTTATGGTCTGGTTCAAGTGATAAAGTTCAAGTTACAGAGA